CACCTTTTTGCATTCCGCAATAATGAGTTGGAAATGACTTTCCATCCATCTCCAGCCATAAAATGCATTAGACTTTCTGCCACATTTACGACTCGTGCAGTGTTGATTAGTTCCACGCTTTGACCTTTCAATGACGTTCGTGGGCTCCGTTTATGGGCGCTTCGCGGTGCGCGAAGAAATAATTGAAATTCAACGTGCAAGTGTTAAAATAAATTTCACACTGGGTGCCGGATTGGAAAATTTCGCGTGTCTCTCTCGAGAAATCTCTCTGGGATTGTCGATTGTGTGTCCGAAGGTCCGCAGAAGCCTTTTTTGCATGCATGGCAATTTATATTCATTACAGTGTGACCTCGCATCAATTACATAGCCTGGGACAATTGCGATAATTGTTACCATTCGAGGGATCTCGAGCAATTAGGCCCCTTTTTATCCCTTCTCGCGTGGGTATTTTTAGATATATCTGTCTGGCATGTCAAATCATCAATCTTGCGATGGACAAAAAGTGCAAAATGCCCTCAAGTGCATCCGAGAGGAGTCTCAAGGAGTTCGGATCTGATAGCACGCCACTTGCTTAATTGCCATCATTTTCAACTCCTCCATCGAGAGGCTTTCCGGGAGAGTGAGAACATTGCCATTTGCGCGATTAGTATTGTATTCCATGAGGCAAAAGTGTTCTCAAGAGATTTTCCGAAAAATCAGAATGCGGGTAATTTGAATCCTAAAGAATTTCGCACAGAACCGCGTTATTTTGCAATTCAATTAGACAGAGTGTGAATGTGAAAAATAATTAGGTGAGTTTCTCAGAGCCGCGCGCTCCACAAACGCGCGAATTAATCACCATTTTTTTCACACATCCCTGACACATGAAATGTGTTAATATGAGCCGCGAGATGGAAACAAATGAGTCTGTCCCTCATTGTCTGGGGCGGAATTAAAGGAATTTAATTTTTTCACGGGTATTTAAGGATCATCCGATTGCATTGTGTAGCATTTGATTTATGATTATTCCATGAATAACACCCCAGAGACATGAGCCAAAGTGTACCCGCTGTGGTGGATGGAAATAAATAAACAATCATAAATCACTATGCAAAATACTTTTGAGCATATTACAGAAATTACTTGGATTTCGCTGGTGCGAGTGAGAACTCCTTCGAGCCATATTTTTGCCACCATCCACAAAATACCGACAGAGTCACTGGAAAATGCAAACAGTGGCGGAGATTATTTTAGACACATCGCAAGAAGGGTATTAAAGTAGCAGCATGTGTGCTCAAGAAGATCTGAGAAGGATCAACTGGAACAAATATCATCTAAATGTCTTAGATATGCAGAACAACGTTAATGTTATACTTACGTTTGAACGTGGTTCTGCCAATTTAGGAAAAGACATAAAGGAATACCACATTCTGGAGACTTCTGACGTCCTAGATTCAGATGAATCTAAATTGGTGTCAGTGAGTGTAATTCCGGACAGAGCAAAGCTACGTTCGTGCTGCCATTGAGGGGCAATGGAGGAGCAACGAGATTAATAAAACTCAAATTGAAATGGCTTCTGGGCTGACGGACTGGATCTCTCGCAGAGCATCTCGGATGGATTGAGGCCAGCCTGATCTCGCGTCGTGTTCTCCGCATGAAGTGGAGTGATAGTAATGCGGCGTGTGCAGTAGTTGAGCGTCCCTCCTTCTCCGCCATCCGGAGCTGATTAATGATTTTAATTTTTCCGCAAATTATCGTGAAGGCATCGCGGCTGGGACTTCTTGTTCCATATATGTAAATCACTATCGCAACACGCATTAATCCCGCCGGACAGAGGAGTGTTTTTCTGCTTGGCCTCATGTCTCAATTGGCATTTTTCATGCCTTATTTGTGAAAGACACCATCATTTCGCATTCATCATCTCTATTATGTGGTGCAGGCCAATTGTGACCATCGATGCCATTCTTGGGCATGCACTCAATGGGGCTTCATTGAAATCAAAGTGCGATTTCAAGGTATCTCATTGACGAACAGGACTGGCTTCATCCGCTGCTAAAAAGGGGCCTTCAATAGCACTTTTCATGTGTCTGTCACTCTTCCTGGAGTGATTATCTGCCCTGAAATTTGGCCACAGCGTCTTGGAGTGATGGATTAAACAGGTTTCCCCATAGTTCTGATTGAACCCAATCCTCTATGATCGAGAGAGTGAGATAGTGAAAAATCCCTGTTGCTCGCTGTAGGACTGTTTCTTTGAGTATTCATCGTGGCACACAACAAGTTCGTTGGCCGAGAACGTTGAACCACACAGAGAATTTCTATTGAGCTGTGTGGCTTTCTATGCGAACGAGAAACTGAGCATATCTATGCTCGCCACACAAAAATTATAATCCCACATCTCATGATTAGATTTCCTATTCTGTCGCTCGCCCTGGAATTGCGCGTCTGTCTTGCCGCTTGTAAATCACTTTTGCTCTGGCGAGTGAGGAAAATTTGAGCCATCCGACCCTGATTTGGGCCTCAGCCTAAACCATCTCCTGCTGAGAGCCTTGGCGATCAGAGGGGCTTAATTAAAAATTCATACAGTGTGTGACGCGATAGAATAAATAAGGGGTTCAGGCCAGTGTTTATCGATGGTGTTTGATTAAAGAAGAATCGAAGGAGAGAGGTTTTATGGAACATAAACAAGTCAATGGATGGTAGAAAATCCCCAAAAATCTCTGCTACTGTTTACGATACTCTGGGCAAAGAAGAGAGTGGCTTCGAGCACAAACCAATATTGTGTATCACTTTTGCTGTGTATCCACAAATATTGTGCTCTGCCAAGAGTGGGCTCTGCCCGCGGCGGGACGCGAGGGCATCACGATTGGTGGAAGGTGATAAAGAGTGGAGAGACAAACAACAACACGGGTAACAACTGGAGGAAAGTCACCTCCGCGGCCGCGGATGGCAGAAGATTGCTCGATGCCCGGTGGTAATTATCTCTTTGCGATCGCTGATCGAGGTGTTTGTCCCTTCTGCCCATGCCCGCCACTCTTGCCCAGTAGTTCTGGGCCCCAAACCGTTTCGGGGTGGATGCGCAGAGCGTGGCGAAGGAGTCACAGAGAGGCAAGAATAAATTGTAATAATAACAAAACGCCCCTGATCGCGCATTATAATTCCCCAATACCCCCGAGAGGTGGCAATAAAAAAGCAATCTTGCGCTGCTAAAAACTCTCCTTCGTCGTCGAAAAGTGCACGTGTTCAAAATCCAAAACGATCAAGGGTGCGTCAGGGCGTCGGTGGGGCCAGGAGACAAGGCAAGAGAGCAAAACAACGCAGATACACCAGCAACTTCCAATGGGTTTAGTGTATATGGAAGAGGAATACAAAGAAGGCAATAAGAAAATTTATATATAGGATGGGCGCAGAAGGAGAAGGAGAGAAAAAAAGGCACAGAATACCATGATAGGAGAAAAAAGAATTGAGAATCGTACAAAAAAACTGTCAATTTCCAGTTATATACCTTGGCTTGCCTCTTCTTTGACCATCTCCCAGCAAGAAACCGAGTGTTTTTCTCTCGATTGGCGTTGGATGAGGCAGCACAAGAGCAGAAAGAAGCGGAGTCACACAGCAGAGGGATGACAACTGCTCCAAATGGGGGTGGACATTCAAATCACGCCAGTTGTGCTTATTTGGCAAGATTGTTGCCAAGAAATTCGTGAATGATTTTTCTCAAAAGACTTCCAACAAAATAAATCGTTCAATTCGAAGTTATCATGTAACAGAAAATTATCTTAAGAGATCGGCATCGTTAAGTTTCCTGTCAACAAATAAGATCGTAAAACAATCTTAAGCTACACGTCAATGATTTTATCAAGTCCTAAATTCTAAAATCTGTGCTTCATAAACCTTGAACTTGTAAACTTATAAACATAAACCGGCAAAGCTATAAAGACTGTAAAGAAATTGTTGCAAAAAGCTTTGTTTTTTGAATAATTCACAAATACACAACACGTGCTATAAGAGAGATCTACAAGGTCTAGCATGCTAATAAAAATACTGTGGATAGATAAGCAAATAGTCATTCTGCGAGTGTAAACATAGCAGATATTATATTACCTGATATTGGCTCCCATTCTGCCGGCATTGTTATCATCACCTGTCGCGGGATTTCTCTCTACTCGCAATGGCGCAAGTCGGTCACTGAAGGAGAGCAGTTGCGCGCCCCTGGTTGAGAATCCACCACGCCAAACCACGCTACAATCTCCAAGATCCACTCTCGGGCGAGAGATGGATGGAGTCGTTTGTAGAGAACCAGTTTTCCTCTCCACTTCTTGTATCGCGAGTTGTTCGGGTGGAGAGACGCTGCCTCCAAGTTGGGTCCTTTTGTTTTGACTTGAAGCTCTTTTTCTGGCCATCTGACACACTCTTTTCAGCTCTCTTCTTTGGCCACGCCATTCGAGTGACGCGCTGGATGGAAATTTTGAGGAAAATTGCGAAATACAGCGCGCGCGCGCTTTTTGGCGCGCAAAATTCTACACTGCTAAAAATGGGATGTCCTTCGCCGTTGTGCTCATCTTCAGTCCTCCGCCTCTTCTGTGTTTGCTCAGGCTTTTTTTGCCCACCAACTTGTTTATGCTTCCACCGAATGTTTGTGTCAATTCCTCATTTATCTTCTCGCCCAATATTAATAATGCAATATCCTGCGCCCCCGGAGGTTGAGCGATTCACTTCATGAGCATGACTCTCAATTCTCCAGTGATTTGTTGATCGAACGAATCAGTCTCTTGTTGGATGTTCTGTGTAAACAAGCAGAAGAACCGAGACAGCGTCCAAATGACAATCACTTGGCTACGGTGTCTAACGTAAAATCTCATTTTCTTCCTCCACCTCACGACAAGCTTCTTCGCAGTGGTGCGGGTGAAAAAAAAGGTGAAAATAATTGAGCGATGAGGTAAGTCATTTGGAATAAGACACAAAGGTTCTTGAGAATGCCAGAAACCCTCGAGGAGACACACCAAAAAGATGGGTATTTTTTTCTGTAGCAACGTTTTATTGTTCATTCAAGTATATTATTTTAGTATGGACTGCGAACATTTGGAGTCCATAATCATTGAAATCTTTCCTGTTATCCTATACGAAAATTTGTATGACAATCTTAAATACCAAAAGGAAGAGATTTTATGCATATTTCCTGGGCATCTCTTCGCTATAAACATTATTTACAAATACTTGGGAGATACACATTTTTCCATTTTATATCTCTCCTTGCTTTCTATACAGTATGAAATTGAATTTTCATGTCAGTGTGTGTGTGTGTCTGTGGAAAAGGCACTTTTTCGCACAATTCTAATTGAAAATATTATAATGCAAAAATTCACACAAATACGCTGTGATAATAAATACAAAAAAAAATCTATTTTACATATTTCAATGTTGGGAGTGTGACCTAAACTTGTTTGCGGGGAAATGAACTGCGTTTGCAAACACACAAAATTATAGGGAGAGTTCTTGAGGGAGTGAAAATTGCAAGAAAATCCAGTTTTGATTCAGTTGACAATCGGCGCTAGAGAAAAAGTCGATATCACAATTCGAAGGATTTAAAAAATATTTTGATTATCTCAATAAGAGGGTAAAAAAATGCAATCAAAAAATTTTTTACGAGAATTTTGTACTGTTCAAAGAGTCGCTTAAGAAATTAATCCAATAAATTGATTTTTATGTTTTTTTTTAATGTATGAAAAAAGAGGGTCAAACAACACGTTGGAGAAAAAAAGGCAGTTCAATTTGAAGTTCTTGGGTGACCACGGTGGGAAATTCTCACATTTGTTACATTATTTATACAATTCTTGTTCTCTTAATTAATCAATGCCCACTCATAATGGGAGCCTTAGAGCTATGCTTTACTCCTTTCGCTGAGCTCCTCCATTAGTAAATATCAATTGAACTGGAATTTTGGATGTGATGACACGAAAACGATTGAGGTGGAATTTCTAACTTAAACACTTTTGTCACCTTTCGATATCACATTGCAATTGAGAAGGGTTTTTCGCTGTGTTGTCTTCTTTCTTCATTTTATGAGATAATTTTCACTGGGCAAAACGGGGACAAGGATGAAAATTTGGACTTGCGGTAAAATTATTAATTTCAAAATGTGATGCTGTAAAGACAGAGGCTGAAGAGTGAGGATCGCCAATTTTGGTCCCTATTACAAATATAATGTTTATTCTCTTCTCAGCGGAAAACTTCCTCAACCCTTCGAAAACCTCCGTCAAGAAGATTGATTGAAATTAGAATTGAGAACCGAAATGTTTTCTGGTATTTCTTCCTGAATTTCTCAGCTTCTGTGAGTGTCCTTAGAATATATCTCTCTCTCTCTTCTTTTCCATATATTATGTACTTTTTCATCAAGCAAAATTAAATAATTCCTAACAACTACACTCAAAATACGATAAATTAAAATCTTTCTCTTTACTAGTTTTTAAATATTTGAGATCATTACATTTATAAAAAGAATTAATAAATTACACTATCTCCACTTGTATTCTTCTCTCTTTTGCTCTCAAATAGTCAAATGAGTTGTTGCTGATTTATCTCCTCTTCGACAAAAGAATAGATTTTCGCGTTGTGAAAAGTGATTAAAGTGTTGCACGAAGCCCTCGAGGATAAACTCACACGGGATGATGTCTCTTCTAGTGCTTCTCCTTGGACTCTATGCTGGCTCTCGGCTTTTTCACTTCTCGCATGAAATCTGCAAAGACAAGAGTGGACAAAAACATGCCATTAGATCACCGGAAGAGTGTCAACAGTTGTGGTTTTTTGCCACGCCACAGTGTGTTCCAATTTAGTGGATTTGTACAACTCTTAGCATTGTTCTCATTCATCCGAGGAGCGCGCAAAGTTGTTTTTGCATCGTGCAAACAATGGCCCATGACAAGGACATTGAGGTCATTTTATTTGCTTAGGTGTTCCTCAAGCCATCAACTTGCCAAGTCAATGAATCAATTCACCGATTTCTGCGCTCAAAATCCCCATCGCGCTATCGCTGCACCGCGATAACGCCACATGCACTTACAATCAGTCATTTGAGACACACTCGCGCCGATTCATGGCCTTATGCAAATAAGAAACAGTTCATATGGTGTGCTTATGTATGAAAAAAAAGAACACTACCAATATTATTTCTCGCCTCAATCCCAATCGCAAATACGTTAACAAATCACTCTTTTGCTAAAAATAAACGAGAGTTTGTTACCTTTGTGATATCGTGAGTGCTGATATTTTGGGATTTTTCTACAACTGCTGTTTTCTTTCATAACGCGCGCTCTGTTGATTTTGATAAGGAGGCAAAACAGCTCTCATCGAAGCCATTCATGTTGACATTTTTAGCATATTTCACGCATGATTTGCGTTCAAAACACTCCCGAGATTTGACCCACTTTTCAGTTGAACTTTCACGAGAGGAATCCCATGAAAATTCTTCTCAGCCGTCTGACAATAGAACGGGGAAAAGAGTGTTTTATTGCAACTCCTTTTATGACCAAATGCGGGTCAAAATTTCGTTTGCACCATTGTCAATCGCACTCGAACATTTTATTGCAATTTTTTGTCAGCCTTTGTCATGGAATAGCGAGCACAAATCGCGATGATTCACCTCGAATCATCCAAAAATGTAGCACGCAGTATTTCAATTAGGAGGGCAATGTCGCCATTGAGCGCGCACTCTTTTTTTTATTAATTTCCCCGGCAACGCAGATGGGAGTAAAGGTCCCCTCGGCGAAAGTAGGGTCAGAGTTAGCGGGGTTATCGCTAAATAGGGAATTGTTGAAGGAAATCTCGCTGCCAGTATGGGAAAAACACAGATCGACGCTGAGCGGCTATAAAAGAGCCAAAAATGCTCTTTCTGTGTCTCTTTCTCGTAAAATCATAACTTTTAGTGTCTTGCAGTGTATATTGCCAGCATCTCACTGAAAATTTCAACTCAGACAAGAGTTGGATATTGGAAAAACATTAAAAATCCCTCGAGATGCACGAGAATCGTAAAAAAAATTGGGAAACCCGTCGGTGGGAACATTTTTATGAACAAAACAACTGGCAGACATAAATCGAAACCTCCATGTCTGCACTCAATGAGAACCATAATCATAAAAATTATCCTTATTTCCAACCATGCACACTGTCAATGCACTTTATTAACCAAATTGAGAAGGATGTCGCTCAAGAGCTCTCCATAGAACCTCATCAAGCATTTCCTCTCGTCTGTGATTTTCCCTCTCGCGCGCACCAACGGTCTCTAAGACGCGAGAATACCGTTAACTTTTCACCCATAACTTCGCCAACAAGTGACTAATTGTGCTGTGGACAGAGAGCCAGGAACGCGTGACATCACTCACAAACGCGCTGCCGAGACAGAGTTGCGACTCTCCAGATCGCAAATGAAAGGCAGCGAAGAGATTCTCCGAGTCTCTTATCTTGTGGCCATCTCAACTCGACGGTTAACCTTCTGTGTGTTCATTGAGGAAGTGTGCAAAATTGTGCGATGGCCAGAAACGGCGAGGGCTTGCTGTGAAAATGGTGTAACATTTCTCTCTTAACCTTCTTCACATTTTCTGTGGTTTCGCGATTTTTCCAGTGTTGAACCCGCTAAAATTGCCCCAAAGCGCGCTCGTGAGGAGGCAATTTAAATGAATTGTGACCCATTCATCGTCACTGATTAAGATTGTCCGATTTCTTGTGATAACCAGCAATTGAGACAGATTTGACTGCCGAGAGACACTCTGTGAATTAATTCAATCAAAATGGTTCGTGTCGCTTTTCAACTCCACACAACATTGTCGTTTAGATCAAATTGGCATTTCTGGCTGAAATATTTATTGCTCGCGCTTGTTCCAAGAGACACAGCTCCATCGCGAGTGACGAATTTATTGATTTCCATCATGCGAAATTGAGCGATAAGAAACCTTTCATCATCGCAATGTGTCTCAATTCGCAGACACCCACATGGGCAATCGACACGCCAGTAAATGCGCAAAATTACAACTTGTTTATTCCGCGAGCGTTTTTAATCCCAGCCATTCTTATCTAAGCGTTTTGTTGAGCGGAAAAAAGCACGTTTTACCCCCTTTCTTTTGAGGTCGTTCTGATACGTGGTATACAAGCTTTCCCATCGTCACAATTGTGAGCTGATGAAAAATTCAATATTTAACTTTGCGTTAATTGGGAACTCTTCAGCCTCACTTCACTGTCCGGCGATATCGAGTTCTCTCTGTCCCTAAAAACGGCCCACACTCGGCTCGCTTCCCATATGTCACTGCATTGTCGTAGTAATTCAACACGAAAGAGCACATGCCCTTATCGAATTTAACATGCAATTCCTCATAATGCCTCCCATCATCCCAGACAGATCCTATTTCGCCCTCACTTTGGAGACAAATTGTGTCTCTTTAGCGCATCACACGCCTTTTGTTCTTGCACGATAAACGACCATTTAGCATCATTTACGCGAGCCATGGGAACATTTGGGCCTAGTCTTGCGGAAAATGACTGAATTCTCATGTAACATGGCTGGGAGCGGAGGAAGAGCAACTCATTTTTCGGTTATTACAGCAAAAAAAAGGCAGCAGGGAAAAAACAACATTGCATCCGCAACGATCAATTGAATGCGCGTTCCATATCACTGAGCCTTGGGAGAATATTGATAAAGGGGCCAAATCTCAACAAGTGGAACGAACTGAACTGAAAAGAGTGCATCAATGGACAGTCGATTAATCACGGCAAATCTGTGACGCATCCACATGGATTTCGCGCCAAAATCCTATTCGTCACCCAGCGACGAAGCCGCGGAAAAGAGACCACCATGAGACTCTTATGTAAATACATGAGATGCGAAGTCTGTGTCCTTGTGGCAACTTATCTCTCTCTCTATGGCATCAAGAAACGCGTGCCAATTGCGACTGGTGCAAAATGTTAATATCTTTTTTACTCCCTCAGAGTCGCGAGACGTGAGCGTGGAGACTGCATTGCCTTGGCATGACGAGCGTGGGAGTTTTGGCGGGAAAACCCACAAAGCCATCTTCTGATCTATTTTTCCCCAATTGCGTCACATCATGTGATCATTCCCCTCGTCGAGCATCAACTGAATCACCTCAGATGACACAAAAATGCGTCTTAGTGGGTGAAAATCCCCCAAAATGCATCATATGGACAAACACCATGTGCCGACAAACGAGTTTGCGCCTCAACACATTGCCAAAAATCTTGAGAAGTTGATGAGTGTTGCGAAAAGACGTTTTTTTTCTCGTTGCTATTCAGCCTAGAGCAACCAATACTGCCACAGATTTTGCAGGAGGGAATTTTTGGCGCGAACCGCACCACAGATTTGATTTATTTTATTTTTGGCCAAAAAACATGGTCGAGAGATAGCAAACAGGCCACAGGCCGACACAAACACACTTCAAATGATTTCTCGGGTTCACGTTTTGTGAGATTTTTGCAGATTATTTGGTGTGTGTCGCAGAAATGGCGGGAATTTATTTTTAGGCGACACTGCAACGCGTTTTTCGAGCGTCGCCGCTTTTCCGCGGGAAAATTCTCTTCCTCACGGTTGGGGGTGAAAAACGTGCCCATTGAGTGCTGAAGGAAAGGTTTAACGGGTCTCTTATTGTCTGTCGGGCAGGTTTGAGGGTTGATTGCAAGGGTTGGTGATATTATAGCTCTGAAATGCTTTTCTTTCGGACATCAAATGAAGAAAAAAGCGAGAGAGACGCACTATTAGTGAGTTACGTAACTACACCACTCTATGGAAATGTATTCGAAAGGGGCATTCATAATGGAGAGAAAGTGTCGTCATTCAACTGTTCTTTGGACAATCGCGTATAATTTTTTAGTGGCTAAATCGCAGCGAAATTACCTGTGATGTGTGTCTGCTTGGTGGCTCGATCGTAAGGTTTCACACGGTGACTCTTCTCTGCGTTTGGCGGATTTCTTGCACTGCCACCATTGCACGTGTCCTCCTGCTTGGTCACTGTATCCCTGACTTCGCCAGGACACTCCTGAGTGCGTCCTGCGTCCTCCTGCAGACGCTCAGTCGTGCCGGGCGTCTCAGAATTCTCCTGCACCGGTTGATCGGTGCCAATGTCAAATCCAATGCGAGTAATGTACTCCGTGCGGATCCGCTCGAAGATCGCCTGGCTCTGCTCCTTGGCTATTTTCAGATTTTCTCCGGGCTTCGCCTTGCCAAAGAGACAACGTCGAGTGCTGGACCGCGGCTGCAGCACTTGATTCGTGTCCGCGACACTGATATCACTCCTGTTGTGCGGATTTCTCCGCACAATTGTCGGCTGTGCCGTTTGGATCTTGCTCACAGTCATGATGCCTCTCGAAACTATTCTTGAGATCAATCGTACAGTTGGATTTAAGGTGTGGCCCAAAAAACGCCAAGATTTTCCTTCAGTCTCTGTTGAAATTCCTCCTCACGGCACACTTTCACTTCAGCACGTCAGCTCGTTAAATGTACACCACAGATCAACTTCCGTTCTGGGAAAAACTGCACCGCACACAAACTACAGAAGCCACTGAAAATGTCGCTTGGAAATCTCTCGACTTTTCTCCGCTATTTACCACACTTTTCACACATTAATTGCGCCGCCACGAAAACACCTCCAAAGACTGTCTCTCTCTCTCTCTCTTGAGCAACTCCCGACACTGCGAGAAAACCTTCCTTTCTCTCTGAGCTTCACACTGCGAATGAATTTACGTCCCAAGTACAGACCTCGGTTCGCGCCGCACAGCCGCGATTGCGACCGACTTGTGGCTGTATTCACCAACACTGCGCCGAGTTTCACTGCTTCTCGTGCTCTTCAATGAGGATCAACACCGAATTATAATTCTCTGATTTCCAGAAAATCACTGTGTGCGTGCGATGCTTCATTATATCATGTCGAAGTGTTGGTGCGGCGAAAGAATAAGAAATATATTTTATCTCAAACGCGGCTCATTGTGGAGCATTGAGTCGCGTTGGTCACACAAACACACACGTGAAATATCTCTGGGATGGGAAACCTTTTAAATGAATAGATCTTTATAAATTTCACATGAATTTGTAATCCAAATTGAAGATTTGCTGTTTTTACTCGATTGCGTCTAAAACATTCATGAAAAAGATCGAAAATTGATCAATTGATAAAGACAACAGGGAAAGATTTTTTTGTGAAAATGAAAAATGGTTTTTTTTTGCCTAAAAAATCAGAAAGACATCAAAATTGTGCAATCAAGAGAGAATCCAGAAACAGAAATTTCATATCATGAGAGAAATTCGAGGTCTCTTAAGTCACAGTAAAAGCAGTAATATAAAATCATAGACACTTTTCCCATTTTCCAGCCATTTTCTAACAATCTTTATCTTCATTAATTGTGTATTTGTCGTCGTAATTGTGGAAAGATTCTGTCTATAAAGCAATTCATTCTCTCACTTATAGTCATCAAAACGCTGAATTCCTAAACACACAATGTGTCTATAAATACAGAGTGAATAAAATGTGGTATCTAATTGACCCAATTCCGCTCTAAGACTTTTTACAGCGTCGTTCTGCGCAAAATGCCAAAGATCACCTTCAGAAGCTCTAATGGGAGATACACATGGACGAGAAAAAAGCAGCCATCTAACTATTTACTACACAAATGTTTAAAATTCACTCCTCATTCTTCGTGTGCGCAGAAGTGCTCTCAATAAAGTGACGAGTTAGTAGAATTCGCTGAAGCTTTCGTGGAAATCACGTGATTTTTTTTTCTAGGAAAATTTTTCACAAATTCTCCAGAGAGTCAAAGTGTCTCAAGAGAGCCTTTCTGCGTCTCTAGAATGCACGTGTTGATTTTGCTCCCCTCGCAATTTTGTTTACTTTGGACGCGATATCTGATAAAAAGATGCCATTGTGCCAAGTGACATATTGAGGAGTTTAGAAAGCAAAAAAAAAGAAACCTTGAGCAAATATCAAATGTGGGTTTTGATGGTAGGGAAAAAAGTTGCATAAAATGATCGAGTTGGAAAATGTTTAGTGTTGAGTTTCGAGGCTCAAAGATGGATGCGTCTGTGACATGAGATGAAAGATAAATGGCCATTTGTGCGTCATATCGAATTACGCCTTGTTTATCCATATTTCGAGGGGTATTTTTCTTTCAGTCTAATCAGCAGAAAAGACACTGTATGGGCACTTTTCTTGCGAGGATTGTAAGAGTGCGCAGGAGTTTTTGGCGCGAAAAATGTGAGCTTCTTGAGGTGAATTCGAGGAAGAAACGTGCCGGCTGTCGGATACACTTGAGCATCTATTATTGACCATGGCGAGAAATGGCAGAAGTCTCCTCTATAAATTACCTGCGAAGACATCTGGTTCTTGGAGAAACACCCCACGACTATGCAAAATTGAGCTGGAGAATAGTTATATTTCTCCCATTCATCCATTGTACCTCAAATTTCTATGACTCCCACACATGTTCTGTGCATCTCCTGGCACATTTTGAGCATGGCCTCAATAAAAAACCGACCCATCCAGAGAGGGTGTCCCTCATGATTGAGGATCAATCTGCCTGCGCCAGGGACTCTCACATGATATCCACTACGATCCCAACTCTGAAACCCGGCCATTTGTCCTGCATATTGAGCCCGTTTTGAGGCATTCTGCCGAAAGAGAGAATCACACAGAAATGCGTGATATTTATTATTTGGGACGATGCAGTCGGTCTCAATTTTTGAGCAGATGTTTTTCTCAGTAACAACCACCGTCTGGCTCAATACTTTGAGCCATACATGGACTCCATCCTCATCCTTATTTACCATCCGCCCAGAGAAAATCGACCGCGAAACTGCCAATACACCGAAATACATCTGTTGGACGTTACCATCCATGTAATTACACTGCCGAAAAGTGATCTTGAGCAAAACTGTTCTACGAAATGGGATTTCCTCAAATCCTAATCCACCTTTTCTGCGGCTCAACAGGTAATTTGTGTAACTTCTCACCCTCATTCTGCGCAAATACATCCCAAAGAAATCCCTCCGTCCCTCGATCGACAAGTCCCTTTGTCACACAATGCCTCAAAATTTTCTCCCTACGTCTCTCATCCCAACAAGTACATAGAGTTTTCGCGCCAAAACAGCATTTGCACCTTGCCACCGAGGCTTCAGGTAAATGTGCATCTTTTTTGAGCTATATATGGCTCAACACATTTACATGGCATTTGTGCGCACTCTTCCTCTTCCCGCCATTCTTGCGTGATGCTCAAACTTTTCTTGAGGCAAAATCGAGAGTGGATGAGGCAAAAAATTGCGCGCCAAGATTTTGAGGCAGTTGCCAACCACCTGTCGAGCCTCACCTTTTGCCTCTCCGGCTCAAGAAATTGCAGCAAACGACTCAAGATGAATTTCCTGGGAGGTACACTCGAAAAAGTCTGCATATGGAATGACTCAGCGCAAAATACAGTGTGAAAGATTCAAAAATGAGCTGATTCTGAAGCTCTGAAGATTTTCACGTTCCTTAAATCATGGTTATAACCATAAATAGATAAATTTATCGCAATTAAATACAAAAATACAAACCAATTTTCTGCGTGGCTAAACTGTGGGTTGATAGATTTCATACAAATTTAGCACTGATTCCTTATCTATTTGCAAGGTAGTAAAAACGTGTGTTGATGTCTAATAAAATGGTATCTAATCTAGAGATAATGAGATGAATGAATTCAAGATGCGATTCATAATTGCGCTGCTCTAATGAATGATGGAAATGCTAACTTTGTGACGACAGGATGTGATTGTCTCGACAAGAGCCAGAAATAGAAGTGATGAAAATGGCGAAAAACACACGATTTCGTGGGACAAATGAATCATGACAGTGTGGATCGTGAGATAAAGTGGCGAATCGTCTGCAGGAAATGCAACATTACTCGTGAAAGTCCCAAAATAGATTCTCCATTGCTGTGGTATGAATTAAAAGACCGTTAAAGAGACTCGAGATGTGTCTTGAGATGGTGCTTTTAAACTCCCCCTCGTCTTGAATGCACCCTCGTGCCTGCGCCTTTTAAAGCATTCAGGACGTGCGCAAAAGGTGCACTCATGCGAACAGCTGTCCTCACAGGACACTATCAAACAATTCCCCTTGTGAACAAGGCCGAAATCTCTCTTGTCGGCAAACTGATTCGGCCGTATATATTTGTCGTGATGTCGAAATCCCTCCCGCTCATCCCGACAATGTTTTTCCAAACGTGCAGCTGCTGCTTTTCCTCCCAGGAACATTCTGAGAAACAGCACTTTGTCGCGATCTTGAGGTTTTCCATGTTCCGCGAGAGCAAACAGACATGCCTTGTTCCCCTCGAGGCGAGAAAATCACCTTAATAACCGATAAAATGACGTGAATAATAATTTCTCGGTCCTTCCCAAATGCCTAAATTGGTGTCTCTAATTTGAAGATGAATTGATTATTTTATTAAGACGCCCAAAGGGACACGCTCGAGTCGCCAGCAGGAATTATTCTTGCATGGTTCTATTGGGCAAAAAACAAGTGTCGCCCAACAAGAAAAACGAGCCTCTTTCTCACTGTCTATCGAAGCGAAACTGTTTTCTGTATTGTGGTACATTTTTTTTCACCAGCCACAAAACGACACAAGAGAACGCCTTTCTGAACGAGGTGAAAGAGGAAAAATCTCAGACGAAATTCCCCAACGCTCATTACAGTCACGGTGGATGATTCTCTGTCTCATAATTGCATATTCAGTGGATTTATGGAAGTTGGAAGGCTGAATCACTGCGTCTGGACTGATACTCCCACGCATTTTTTAATAATTATAACTCGCCCTTCGAGCGTAATTAATTTCAACGGTTGTCGATAGATCTTCAAGTCTAGACAGTGAGGTTTGTAGGTCAATTGCGTTGCTTAACTATATTAAAAAAAAAACTGATTAACCAGAAACTCTTAACTTTGTTGATTTTCTATTCATGATTCTTTCAAAAATGCCTTTTCAGTAGCTTCGAATCGCAGTGCATTAAGATCACTCTTTGTTCATAAATCCAAACCGCCACTCAAATCCATTTTAATGATCGAAATGGTGCCAACACTTCTGGAGAAATGCGTTCCCCGGGAAACATCACCAAAAATAGTTCTTCTTCTTAGTCTTGCCAGTCACTCAAGGGTGAAGCTGAAATTGTCTCTCTGTCACTCCCAAAATAGGAGCGGAAGGTTCAATCATTTCGGCGACAGACGGAAAAATGCTGGAACATGTCAAATATTATTTCTTCAATTTATTTGGTAAAGTTACATTTTTCCAACTCGTTCCAAACCCGTGCACTCGCAATCGCAGTGAACAGTGAATGTGAGCTGCTCTCACCACGGAACCATATCGTGCAGACACGAGTGAGTTGGTGGACGATGACACTCTTGGGCAGCGCAATTGATTCAGTGCCGGGCCATTATCGACTTCCGCCTCGCAAGAAGGTAACGTTCTTTGGAATCGGACATTCCTGACGGTGTTGGCGTCACATTTATCTGACCAGAGACTCCAGCCTTGGAATTGTTTCTCTCCTGTCCAATTTATGGCATTTGCCTCATTTTACGCATAGGCAAAAAATCACTGTTTATTCTCTTCGTAAATCTCCAAAGTGACGGTTTTATTTGATGCTTTTTACGCACTTTTATTAATAAGAATTTATAAAGTATTTCTGTGTGGCCGATTGATTGATTAACTAATAGAATTTGTGGTATTAAATTTATTCAAATGCATGCTTTTAAGCAATATCACTGTATTGTTGGTTGTGTTGATTCTACAATTTTGGTT